TTAAATGCGTAATAAGTACGCAACAATTATTTTTTAATGCGTAAATGGAAATTTTCTATGCGTATTTTACCCGGATACGCAGCTTATCTGGGCCTGTGGAGGAAAGTGTCTGGTACTCTTCATTGGGAGTGGATACTAAAATGCTTCTTATGCATATTGATTGAATAAGATGTAATGGTTTAGAGGTTACTGAAGATTATATTTTCTTCAACTACCTAATAAATAGGAAACAATATACGAAATTTCAAGGACATACAAAGAATTCTAACACAATAGAATAGTTTGAATTTACTTTCTAGGTATTATTGCATTGTCATGTTTCATATAATGAATCGTAAACACAAATAATTATACATCCAAGCTCGAGTAGATTAGACAGTTAGAAGTTACTAATTTAAAGCTTACTGAATTGTAACTATTTATTTTTCATAATCTAAAGTTGATAATGTTACCTAATCGAATATAAAGTGATAACTCGCGCCTTTGCATCAAATATATACTAGGCACATAAAGAAACTGTGCATACAAAAATTTAAAATCTTAATTTATCAAACCTGTGTAGACACATAAGGATTTAAACTCAGAGATTAGTGACATGTATCCAACATGCATGCACGTGCCACGTTCCCTGACGTCAGTGGGTTCGTCCTTGAGACGTGCAATACGTTGTTGCATGTGCATTCCGGGAAAGAGAAACAGAGCAAATGAATGCCACACAATACTGTCACTTTGGAAAGCTCTACCTCTGCCCTTGCGATTGTTCAAAAAATTAAACGGCTATTGAAACGCATAGCATGCCAAGGCTCATGTCTGCACAACGTCATGAGGCTATTGGGATGGTCCGTGGGGGAATGTCTCAACGACAAGTAGCTGCACATTTCCACTGCCACCGGAACACCATTTCTGCACTGGTGAGACACTACCAGAACACAAATGGCGTCATCGATCGGCCACGTTCTGGACGTCCACGTGTAACAACGCCAAGACAGGACAGATGGATAAGGGTGACCCATCTTCGCCACAGGTTTCAGACTGCAGTGATGACTGCCCGAACCATCCCAGGACTTCGCCGTATCCACCCCAACACAGTTCGACAACGTTAACGTCATCACGGGATCAGACCACGGCGTCCCGCCATACGGCCTATCCTGACACAACATCATCGACAAGCTCGCCAAATGTGGTGCCGAAATCATGTCCGCAGACCCTGGTTTTGGTGGAGAAATGTTGTTTTTACAGATGAGTCCAGGTTTAACATTTCCCATAGTGATGGACGTCAAAGTGCCTATAGACGCGTGGGAGAATGTTATGCACAGGCCTGTGTCTTGGAGAGGAATCACTTTGGTGGTGGTTCCGTGATGATTTGGGGTGGAATAACAGCACGCCAAAGAACTCCTTTGGTGATTGTTCAGGGCAATTTAACTGGTGTGGGCTACAGGGATCAGATTCTTCGACCTGTGGCCATTCCTTTTCTGCAATGTCATGGCCCTGGGTTAACATTCCAACAGGACAATGCCCGCCCTCATACGGCAAGGGTTGCTATGGATTTCTTACAACACCACAACGTTGACTTACTGCCTTGGCCTGCAATTCACCGGATCTCTCCCCGATAAAGCATGTTTGGGACGAGATGGATCGACGTCTACGCCGTCTTCCTCATCCGCCAGATAACGTCCTTGACCTTGCAACAGAACTTGAGAGAATCTGGCGTGACATCCCACAAGCCTTCCTTGCACGTTTGATAGGCTCTATGCATCGTCGATGCACTGCTGTTCTCAATGCCGATGGTGGACATACCCGTTATTGAGCTTGTGACATGGTCGTTTGACCCCGCTTGTGGACTCATGACATCATTATGATTGACTTTTCAATTGAAATTCTCCCGACTTGTTATGGTCTCATGATCCCTCCATTAAAGTTTATATGTAGCTTTGACATTGTTATCGTACTTATCAACTGGGATAATATTTTGACAATGCACAGTTTCTTTATGTGGCTAGTATATATACGTCAGTGTTATTACAACAATGAAATCTTTTACTACGTTTGTTACAAAACACAGTAAGTAAGACAGAAGTAATATCATAAGTTATTACATGTAAACCATACAAAGGTATTTCAAGGATTTTTGTTCAAGCCGTTGAAAGGTTCAAGTTGATTTGAATTGTCAGTTTTCTATGCAATTTACATGAGCATTGTGTAAAAACTTTTGTATTTGATCTGTGTAATTATCTGATCCAGTGCATCAGTGACGGTAACGATACACATGCGTATAATCATTCATCAGATAACAGTAATGAGATAATGGAACACCTCTTTCGACCTTGAAATATCAGCCTCCGGTAGAACGCATATGTAGTTACGCGCTTGTTGAAAGGTTTGTCCCGTGACAAGTGTAAAATAAACAGATGCGCTGTTATATCATTGGACAACCTGCTTTATGGAGTCACGCCCCTCTTTGGAATGTTTATGCATGGATGCACATCTGTAATCTTATGAACCTCATTTACATTCAGTATGAATATAGGCACGCCCATCCTCATCAATATTTGGGGGGATTAAACTTCAAGTTTATACATTATAATAATTCAGTATTGTGTCACTTTTTGAATTCTATAATACGTGTACTTTAATTTGGATATTCATGCGTATCAAGGTGAAGATTATATTTACATGTACAGCAAACCATTATGTTTTATGTACTAGTTGTGTGCGTAAAATGTGTATAAACATAAATACGGTTGGTCTACTCAACGGTTGGATTTCAATCACTTTGTGTTACTTATCGAAAAACACTCAAATGTGTTTTCGATCTCTGAGATCTATCTACTCCTATTTGTCTTACATGACAGCTTGAGTTGATAAAGCTAAAACCCAGCATATCGAATGGTCAACAATATAGCCAATAATCAATCTCTATCCAAGCTGTTGAGTGACTAAACGTGCTCTTCAGAAATTGATGGCCTGTCCCTTCCTCTGTGACAGGTATCTCATGATACAATTGGTCACAGATAACAAATGATCAGTCACTATATTGAACAGTTGAGATGCCAAATGTTCTATTCGGGAAATTTGATGACGCCCTATCACGTGACTCTTTGTTTTATGTCTATACTAGGAATATGTATTATACAATTTTCATATGTGTGTTCGTATGATAACGTATGTTTTTTGCATTAAATCTAGATGAAACGAAGTGCCAAGCTATGAATGTGCTCTATGTTAGTCACAGACTAGCGTAATAGTACTTTCCTTAAAATATTCAGTATACACTAGAAATGTATCGGCAAAAACGCTAATATCATAGAAGATTATAAAACATATAAGCAAATTCTTCTTTACAGTCTGTCATTGTCATAGATGTTTTGTAAAATTAAACCTCACACAATGATATAAAGAAAGAATTTGTTTATGTATGTCTCATCTCTTTCATACAAAAAAATACATACATATGTTGATAAAATATAAATGTACAAGCCGCCAAAGGTCTACAAGAGAAACTTGCAATAAAATTACATAAAATGTTGCAATACATGATATGTATTCACACCTGCTTTCTTTTAACTTGTATCTTTACGACACAATTAAACAATCAGAGCTTGATTGTACAACTAGACAGTTTCCTGTCATCCCTGAGGTTCAGGCTCATAACGCCGACCTTTCGACCAAACTTTACGGTTGAGTGAAATATAAAGGTCGACGTCCTGAGACTAGTTTCATTTTGCCAATTAATAATGTATTACGAGGACAATGCAGGATCAAAGAGTTGTTGGAGGAGGATAATCCGGATTATGCGGATGAGAGCGCACCTAATGAGAAGATGACAGCAGATGACAGATTTTTATCAGTTGACAGATTTTAGCATTTTTAATAAATACATGTACATCGTAAATTCCTATAGCATACATTTTTTCACAGATTTTAACCTAAATGCAATAGGTGGGATGCAGAATCAGCAAACTGCCTCACGGACAGTGTTCCTTGTTCAAGCTGGGGACAAATGTCATCTAGTCGCCGCCCAAATCCTGTATTTTCTCTTCTTGGGACGGACGCTTCTGGCCAGCCGCATACTGGACCAACTTGTTTTCGGTGTTGGTCTGTTCTCGTGACAACAGCGACACAATCTCGAAAATGTTTGGATGAGCCTTGCCGACATATTTCTCCAGGCGTGAATGCCACCCTTCTAGGTGGTTGTTTGTTCTTGGCCCATCTGTGTTTTGATGGTTCCATTGCGTCATGTGCAGATCTCCCTCCACGCAGAAGTTGGTCATGTAGTCTCCGAGTTGTCGGCAGCGGTCTTCATCAGTCTTTGCAGTATCATATCCAAGATATCCAGTCTCGTTTTCTCTTGCTGACTCTGTAATGCGTGAACCCGCCAACAACCAAGTAACGACTGCCGCGAGCTGTAGGGATGAATCTCTGATCTAGCTGTGCATTTGCCATTTCGAAATCGAATGTGAATCCTTTGGCCATTCCATAGATATTTATACCAAAGATATGAACAGTGTTCAATATTGGCACTCTGCTAAGTGTTATTGTAAACTTTTCAATCAATTGGAAGTGATATGTGCGACGAGTTCACCTTATCAAAACATCTAGAGTAGATTATCCGCAACGCTAATGAGGCCTAATCAGAACCTAACCTTCAAAGGAAACCGCAGGTTGGCGTCCTGAGACTAGTGGAAAATCGAAAGGTCGGCGTCCTGAGACAACACCATCCCCGATACCTGCCAGGGAAATCAGGTGTGAACAGCACTAATTAGCCTCGCAACAGCGAGCCGGGCTATCATCGAGGGGTTCCAGGTGTTGAGTAGTGAAGTGTCTCTTGGGCTTAATGAGTTAAATGTTATTTGTTAAGACTTTGGAAAGCCAAATACCAATTTACAAGACAAGGTTGATATTTCCCATATTAAAAATTACTTGTGGTGAATGCTATTATTGTTTTCACATTACTGATTCCCAAAGCTTGGAAATGACTTAAACAAATGAGTCTCACTTACGACAGACGGAGCAGCTGCAGTAATGAGTAGACACACTGGTGTTGGTGAACAAATGCAGACTCAACCTGGCATTAGTTGACTCCATAAAGAAGGATGAGTACCTATTGAGAAATAAATGCATCAAAATTAGCATAAATACTGTGCATAGTTATACATTTTTCCCATTGTTGTGTGAGCCAAAATAAACAACCTGTATTCTCCTTCTTGGCTCATTCATTTGCTGAGAAAAAAAAGATTCCTCAGATTATTTGAAAATATACTCACAAAAAGTTTGGCACAATAACTTTAATAACAGTAATAACTGTGCTGAGCAATTCTGTGTCATTTGATTATATCTTTTGAATAATTTCACTGATATTCAGCCTTCTTTTGACTCTAACCAAGCTTGAATTTTTCCCGGTTTCCTTAGTCTCAAAAGGGACAGGTGGGTTTCGTTCCGGATCACAACTTGAAAACCATTCAATATCTTTCTTCAAGACTTTGACAGATATATCAAACAGATCTTGAAGTATTGCCTTTTGCTATTTGTAGATTTTTGGCATTTTTATTTTTCATGAATTCCATGGAAACAATTTGGACCTAGTCCAAAGAAAATCAAGTTGGACTTTAAGTAACTGTCAGTTGATTTGTTCTTTCAAATTTATGGGGGCCGGGGGGATTTGTCATCTTCTGATGACTCTTGTTAATAGGGCTGTAACCATGCATGGAACTATAGATGGATTGTAATTGTTGAGTCTCCGATAGCAATTAATCGATGCATCAATAGTATGTGTGCCAATACCATTTGAGTATGTCATTCACTATTTTCAGACAGTAAATAGCAGTTGAATACGTCATTCGCTATGTTTAGACTATGTTTTGGTCATTTAAGCATTGTCTGTCCTGCTAAGAAACAGTGGTCGCTTGACTCGTTTTTCGGTAATGAAAGCAAGAAAAACAATCTCCTGAAGTTTCTAATGATGAGCACTAAAACCAGCTGCAAAATCATGACCTGAGATATGTGCATTCGGGCAAATATAAATCGAACCCCTTTACATTTGGTTGACAAAATTTTCAGAACTCGACATGAACAAGACATCAAGCTTCTAAAGATCACATCACATTCTAAAATTCACGGAATGCAACAGCATTTCAGCACATCTGTCAAAAATGTACAAAATTTTGTACTGATGCTTTTGGATTCAAATATTACACTAAAATTTTAATGACTCCCAAATAATGAAAATGACTCCCAAAAATAAATACTGTGAGTCACCATGACTCCCATTTTTCAAAGCCTGTGTAAAACACTGCAATAGTTGTTTTCCCCTCAATAGCCACCCCTAATTGTTTATAATTCTGTGACTACTACCTCTATTAGATCAGAACCACTCCCTTCCACCTTCCCAACCACCTGTCTTTAGTTGAGACATGTTGGAAAGAAGTGAGGAATTATGTCGTAAATGTTCCCTCTGGATTATGCTTGCCTTTTATCTGTGGGTACCACTGAGACATACAGAATTGGCAATGAAATTGTAAACTAACTAGTGATTATCTTCCCTTGCTCTGACATCACAGTGTGACTGTTTGAAAACCTTCATATTTTGAAGTGATTCAAGTTTTTCCTCAAGTTTTCTTCAAGTATTCAATGATCACCATACTATATATGGGTCAGTGCTATTTCATTGGTCAATCATTCATCATTCATCATATTTACTTGAATTTATGTGATATTTTCTTGTGATCACTGACTCAGGTTTTCCCACCCAAACATCATGTCTCAAAGTGAATGTCTCCAATGTCAAAAGTTTATGCTGAAATTAGTCTCTCATTCATTATGTGCCGCTTGGCATAGGGGCCTGTGTGTACCTTACAAGATCAATGTTTGTTATGTCAGGAACTATAAAGTGAAGATTGGCTAAAAATAGACGCTTCAAGTCCCCCTCTCGCTCTCATCCAATGTCTATAAAATCAGAATCTAAAAGCAAATACAAGTCTGGATCACGTTTGACATCGGACAGGTTAGATCTTGCTGGCTTTACAGCTTTATTCTCGTCACTTAAACAAGATTTAAATGCATCTATGTATCAGTCCCTGCAAGAAATAGTCACGTAAGAAGGAAAAACTCCTAAGTATTCAGAGGCAGCAAGATCAGATATTTGATCCTATGAGCCAATAGTCCGTAAGCCGTTCAAACTCGAAAGACGCCGGCAAGAGCCAATGTCAAGAGTTAATACCCATACAAGGTGCGTTCAAACAGTTCTAAGCCCCACCCAGAAAATGAAACAAATGCAGCTGCATCTGTCAGCCTCAAGCAAATTGGTTTTGCTATGTTCCAGCTTGTTATATCTTGGTTCCATATTATACATAAATGTGTGGTGATGAATATCTTGTTAACCACATTACTCACATATGTGAAATGTTTTATATGATTTTGCTAATGATTCCCTCAAAATACAATGGAAGCTTTTCAAACATTGGACATTGCGAATATAGTTAGACTGACTACCTTTTGAACAACCCTCAAAGGCTGTGGCGGTGCTTTTCTTGGGAAAGCCGATTCTCATCCCGTCTGAAGCTGGTGGCCGGTCCCCACGGTGGGATACGCTACAGGTTTCAAGCGGGTGGGACTGTGTTGACGGGGCCCTGCCGTCAGTCCCTGGGTTTCAACCGCTTGCAGTGAACTCTACTACCAGTAAGGCCGCCAGTACGGCTACCGTTTCCTGCACAGACAGATCGGAGCCACAAGAGCCAGTAAACCACACACGGCTCACACACATGGGATCAACCCTGAGAGAGATAACCGTTACCACGGCAGGTATTGTGAGCACAAGCTATGCTCGCCGTACCTGCCGGAAGGCTACCATGGCCATGGGTAGTCAGTGCGAACAGCCAGCAGGCCTGGATGATCCTTTGTCACAGGCACACATTTACATGGATACCCGCCAATCATTCCGGTTGCACCAGACTTTACTGATTCTGAAGGCCCCTTATTAGGTCTCTCACCCTGAGTTGATTATGACAGAGGGGTTACTTTCTGTGCCGTCAATGACACTACAGCAGAGGATTATATGATGGGTTGAACATTCCCAGAAAAACTGGAGTTTATTCTTGGACTTTATCCTTGAAATATGCCACCTCCATCGGACGAGCCTGACTTTGAGATACCTGTTGAACTCCTCGAATCTTCAGGATGTCTTCCACCGGAATGGACTCCCAGGTTGTCACTTCCCCATTTGTCAGTGGTGAAAACGGCTTTGGACTCTTTCATTACTCAACCATCTAAGTGAAGATCTTTAAATAATCTACCCAAAATAAACACTAAAACAGTTTATGTCATTCATGATCAGACAATACCTGGAAATCTTCCGAAACTAGATAGAGATGTCAATCAACTTGAACTTTGAAGGATGTTTACATCACATGTCACCCGAGATAATTATGGTAGTTAGATCAAGCAACGAGATCTTCCATTGATATCCTATCTTAAGTGAACTGGTTTGCGACTGTCACTATTTGTGGACATTTGGCAGCAGATCACTTAAGACAGCTGGATTCTCTCGGGGCTACTTACTACCATGGGACAATATTCCACCAGTGACATGTCACCCCAGGGGGAACAGGTTTTTTCTATAAGGTCTATGTCTGTCAACATCCTGGTGATAGAACAGCTATTAGAGAAGAGAGCTATAATCGAACTGACCACTCAAGACACATCCAAGGGCTTTTACTCTCCAGTTTTTTCTTGGTACCCAAGAAGGACACAGAAGAGAAGCGCATGATCATAGATCTCAAGATTCTCAACAAGAATCATCTCAGGAAGCCGCCCAGGTTCAAGATGGAGTTGATAGCCAACTTACGCTCTCTAATCCATCGGAATGCTCATTTTGTAAGCCTCAATCTAAAGGATGCTTATCTACATGTACTGATCCACATATGTTCTCAGAAATATCTGCATTTCGCTGTCAATGGTCACAGGTTCCAAGTTTTGAGTACTTCTGTTCGGCATATCGCTGGCACCATGGCTGTTCACATTAATCATGAACCTGATTATGAACTTTGTACATCGCAGACAAGTGGTTATCCACGGTTATCTGGACAACTTCATGGCATGGATGGTGTTCCCCGCTGTGATGTTGCTGGAATATTGCTAAAAGCGGCGTAAAACTAAATTCAGTCAGTCAGTCATGGCATGGAACATACTGACGCAGGTTCTATTAAACAGACAAGATTTATCATTCATGTGTTCACACACCTTGGACTGATAATTCACCCGGACAAGTCCGAATTGACACTGACGCCCAAGATCAAGTTTTTGGGAGCGATCCAAGACGCATACTATATCTATCTTCCATCGGAACGTTGGACAGCTATTCAGGACAGGATATTCCGACTACTCAGTTCCCCTCCAACGTCCATACGCACATGCATTTCACTACTAGGATCGTTAACCTCCATTCAAGAATTCACACTGTGAGGCAGGATCCATCTCCGGGAGTCCTAGGTTTGGTTAAACCAGTACAAGACCTACGATCAAGAGACACTCATAAAATTTCCAGTCACAATCAAGAACGAGATTCTATGGTGCATAATTGGTTACAATATCCTGCCAGGGTCTCCCTTTCCTCCACCTCTCACAGACCTAAATATGTACTTGGATGCATCGACAACAGGCAGGGGTGCGCATATGGAACATCTTCAGATACAGGGCCAATGGAAAGTACCTTAAACATCAACATTCTGGAGATGTTAGCTATAGTCAAAGCACTTTTCCACAGGTCTTCTCCTTCATGGACTCTATGAAGAGCCAGGTCAGAGCACGACACATTCCAGGACAAGTGAATATTCCAGCCGACTCTCTGTCCATACAGGATCGGGTGATTACTACAGAGTGGACTCTACACACCGACGTTTTCAACTTGATAGGAGGAACATGTGAAGTTTATGTCAGTCTAGTACCAGAACCATCAGCTTGGGCAGTTGACGTGATGTCAATATCCTTGGAGAACATGATAGCTAATGCCTTTCCTCCCTTCAAGATGATTCCGCAGGTCTTTGCCAAGATTTTCCAGCACAAATGCATAATCTATCAAATGGCACTAGCTTGGCCAAACAGGGCGTGGTTCACGACACTCCTAGATCTATTGATAGACCGTCAACTATGACACCGAGATATCTGAGATGACGATTTCTTCTTGGCTACAGAAGACCATTGCCCACACTTATCAGAATTGTGACCAGCAGTCAGTCAAATCTCCATCAAGTTTTCTCTCTACCTGAAATAAGAGCCCTAGCCTCATCCTTCGCAGCTTGGAGATCAGTAGGATGCCAGTGGAAATCTTCAAATACTTTTAGCAAGTTCTATCTGAGGGATGTTACCTCTTCAATTGAAGGTCTGAAGAATCTGAGACCTCAACACCTCTCCTCCGCTTGATCCTCCTTTGGGGGGAAAAAGAAGGTGGATGGGCCTCAGGATATTGGCATGGCAGGAACTAGACTGGTAAGTGAGGGATTCACCAGAATATGAAGGGTGAAGCTTAATTCAGAAACTCAGTTACTAAAGGGAATTGGTCACTAATTTAAGTGGAATTATTGTAACCACAACTGTTTATTCCCTCACGACCTTGATCCTTCCCTCGGTGATGGGTTAATCAATCTCTGTTCAAGATTTTCAAACAGTCACGCTGTTATATTACAATCACTAGTCTACATAGGAATACCACTAGGAATAACTAGGACTTAGTTTAAAATTTCATTTCCATTTCTGTATGTCTCAGTGGTACCCACAGATAAAAGGCAAGCATAATCCAGAGGGAACATTTACTAACAATTACTAACAATCCATTTAACTGTTCCTTTTTCCTGCCTCTGCACACGGTTTAGTTGTTAGAAGACAGTGCTGCTGTGGGGACTAGCTATGTATAACTGACATGGAAGAGGAAGTCTTAAACATCTGAAAATCTTGATCTTAGAATTATAACAATGACAACCTGTTTGGATGTTAACATTCATCATATACACCTTTGTTGTAAACCCGTACATTGTGATGTTTGGATGAAGACATCCTCACAGTGAAATTTTGTTCTGATTGTGTGGATGAATGACTAAGGTCACTTAATACTCAGTATATATTATATGTAAACTAAGATATGTTATTTGATATCACACCAAATATGCAAAATCAAGACACTAATTTTAGCTCAACTGACTGAAAGTGAAGTGACATACATCATGTGTCTTATATCAAAAACATCAAATTTGGTCACAACAGAGCACAGTACAAGTGTTAGCTTTTATTTCACATGCTTATTCATACTAATTATGACAACCCAATGTTTTCAAGATGTTCAAGTCCACTTATTATTCATCTTCAGTAAAGGTCCACTAACTTATATAAAGGTCTAGTTTTCACCCTTGCCTACTATTTCAAGCCTACTTTTTCTACTTAAATGTGAGAGGACCATAGCACATATCGATAGTCAAAATTATTTCTGTTATCTAATTGACCAGGTTGCCTACTGTGGTACTCATTTTATGAAGCAACCTAACTGAATAGAGTTGGTTCATCACAAGGACACAACCGATGTTAAATACAGGGTGTTGCCAGAATTGAGCCAAAAAGTAAATTAGAAGTGACAAGTTTGGAAACTAGGCTTTTTTTATAGGCTAGTGACCACTCAACTCTGGAAGATGGTTTTCATCATTTTCAACTAACTGTTTCATATTTGTGAACTGGTCTTCAAAGGTTTTGCAGAACATCTTTCTGTCTTTCCAGAGAGATACACTTTTCCTAAAAGGCTTGAAGAGTTTGGATACAGATTCAATGAAGGTAAAGTGGGAAATTTGCCAGTGGCAGAAAAATGTTTTACAAATTTAAATGAGATAAGATGCTTGTCTTTATCATATATGAGAGATACTATCATTTGCTCAGTGATAACTTTTAATACATGCTGAATGTTGCCCAGTAGTAGTAGAAGGGGGGTTTTGCCGCACATGTGGCTTAGAGGCTTATGAGATGGAATTAAGCATCCCAGCCTCCCTTAAAAACGGTGATGGTCTATCGAGAGGCATCCTTTGATGTGCCTCCAGTCTAGACCCAAATTTCTGAGCATTGAAGTATCAGCCAGCTTGCCAGTGTGATGGTTAGAGTGTTGGACTTGTAATCCAGTGTTTGCAGTTCGAGTCAGGATATCGGCGGAAACTTTTGCAAGTCGAGTCAGCCCTGAGTTGGTGCAGAGGTTTGACTGGTGAGCGTTCAAGGTCTCGGGTCAGGACCGTCATTGCTAAGCCAAACCAAGATGGCGGCCGAGCTTAGCATCGGGGTGTGGACTAGGTTTATCCTGACCGACCCATCTAAATGTAGCCGTAATATTCGGCGACGACTTTATAGAGTGGGTCTGCTATGAATTCCTCGAAGTGGATTAAGGAGTACTGGACATCGCATTCTCGGGTTTCAAAGCTATAATCGATTAACGTATCCATGAGGTGTTGTAACCGTTAGGTGCCCATGAGACCTTAACTATCGTACAGGCTGGTGAATTTCCCTCGACTTATGACTCGACGCAGGGCGGTGTAAATATCGAGGCCACTGACGTCCACCCCGACGCGTCTGAACAACCGTTTCTCGATCAATCTCCACATGTTGATAATGAGATACTTAGACGAATCTTTAATAAGAAGGGGGCAACACTGTGTCGTGAGGGACGATCATCAATTCCTCTCGGACGAATCCCCTACCTGGTCCGTCTAATTAAGATTCGTCGTCTTTGATGTCCACTTCGTCGATTCGGTACGTTTTCATGGACCATACGGGGTCTGTGGCATGACGTTTGTCGCCTCCTTCGAAGTTCACCGGGCTGGTACAGATACCTCACGACGATCCGGTCTGGTATTTTTTTCTCTTGGCCGTGACGTGATGGCGCAGCCGATTTGGTCGTCACAGATTTTCCGTTCAAATGGCTTCAATGGGTCTTTTATCGAGGAGTTGAGTGACTTTGTTGTTGATCGCTTACACCACTCACGGTAAGCGTGCGACCCATTCCGTCGATCGTTTTTCTGAGTTGACCATCTCTTGAGCATACTGATGTCCGAAAAAAGGCTTGGCTAAAGTCCTGTTGAATCTTTCGATGATGGCTTGGCTTCAGTGAGCTCCGGCCATGCTTCGTCTAAGCTGGACTTTATGCTTCGATAACAGCTGTGACACGGCTCCCATGAACTCGCGTCCGGGATCCACTTGTAATTCGGTCGGCCAGGTCAAGCGACTGCGTTTGTAGATACGTTCTAAGGCCTTAGCGACTTGACTCGAATCTTTGGTTGTTAACGGTTCCACTTCCTTGTAGTGACTTGCAACGTCCACAACAGTCAGGGCGTACTTGTACGTTTTGTTTCTCACCCTGTCGTGCGGGAGAAACAGGAGGTCGGCTTGATGGGTACGATAAGGTATGGAAATATCAAACTTTCTTCTCGGGATGTATCTGGGAGCCAGCAGGTACACTTGCCAGATGGCTTGTTTTTTAAGCCAAGCTTTGGCGGTATCCTCGGAGATGCGAGCGGCTTTGGCTAGCTTCGGGATGGAAACTCCCAACGCACCGAGGCCTACTGTTGGTATCCATAGCTATAAGTGTGGATGCCATTGTTCGCAATCCATCATTTGGTATCCATGGGCGACAGTGAGGTCTTGTTGAGAGTGATGCCGTAGATGTTGTGTTTGTCGCTTCTCAACGCGTTCATGGGGTGTTTGAACGTGCTTTTATCAAAGAGAGCCTGTTTGAAGAGGGTGTGTTGGATGTGTCGTTTCACCACGTATTTCTTCACCCCTTTCGCCTTTCAGATTTCGTCGTGATTGGCTTTTTGAATGGAATACATTTTAGGTCTCAACCTGACGTACTCGGCGATGGGTGTGCCGGCGCATTCGTCCATCTTGCCAAGGACCTTTGTATTGGTCGTGCTGTGTAGGGCGTGGTCTGGGGGGTAATCGCTGGTGTCGTACAGGTGCAGGTGTTTCGCCATGTCCTCGTACACGTCCTTGGTGCGTATATTCAACAAGAAGGTATCGGTGTCGGTGTACAGCAGGTTGCACCGATCGCCGTACTGTTGTTTGAGTTGGTTGTAATAAAAGTCGTACACCAAATGTTTGGACAGGTCGAGGATGCTCATCCCCACATAGACGGGTTGGTTGAGCTTGATGTGGCTTTTGTTCATGTGCAGCGCTGCCAAGTCGTTATCGAATAGCTTGCTTCGGTGTAAGGTCGGGCTGGCTATGAGTTACCTGAGTTTTCTTCCTCGTGAGATCGCACGAGTTTTACGTTGACGCGTTTTCTCAAGTTTTCCATGGTTTTACCGAACACCGAATTGTTCATGAGTTTGTAGAGGTTTTTCTCGAAGTTGCTGGTGGCCTGTTTTCGCAGCTCAGTGTTCAACCTGAATGTAAGGTTCCATCCAGGGACTTTGATCTAATTGCAGCACCCGATGTATTTTGATCAGCTTCATGCCCAGTGACAGTGCTGATTCCGATAGTGCACCACGTACTTGGTATTGTGCATCAAGTTCAGAACGCGTTTTTCCACGTTGGCCAGCTTATTTTTCCCAAGCAACGTTAGTTGGTAGTCCGACATCCAGTCTCGGTTCACCGCCAACCGTTCGGGAGCCAGCGGATAGCTATTGTGAGCAGCTAGGAGTTCCACGGGATAGTCCAAGTCCACTTCGAGGATGTAGCCTTTGTTCGAACCCGGCGCATTGCTCATCGATCTCGTCGTTGTCCAACCATTCGAACCCCCCGGTGGATTGAGACTGACTCATGGCCCAGCCGTACAGGTTGTTGGCATACAAGAGGTGGTTGGTGGGCTTGCTCGAGTCGTAGCTTTCCACGTATTGGTTGTTGGCTTTCTCGTACCGTTTGGAGACCATGGAAATCCCACCACGCATCCCTTTCTCAACGAACAGGTGCATGTCATAATCCATGAGCAATTCAAGTTTAACTCTGGTTTTCTTCAGCAGCGCATCCCACGAGAGACCAGGGCTGGTGTAGTGCCAGGCAGGGTCGAGTTGATACTGTTTCAAACACGTCGTTCTGAACATCTCCAACAAGTCGGCCAGCAGCAGGACATACGTTTTCAAGTAGAGGTCGTGATAATCGACCAGATTCTTGCAAACGAGTTTCTCCCACACATTCTGGGCATGGTCATAATTGTCCTTGGAGATGGTGGAGTCGGTTAAGCCGCTGTTAAAGCGGTCGATGGGGGGTAATCGTGGCTCGTCGAACTTGGGCCAGTCGTCCATGTACTCGTACGGGTACACGCCTTTCTGTAGCAGCAGAGGTCAAGTCGCCGCATCGGTGTATCGATCGGTAATGGCGAAGGTATCGTTGGCTTTGACCAAACTATCGAGCAATGACAGGAGAAACTGAGCACTATCGATAAATCTCAGATGGTTGAGTGAGAACGAAATGTAATTTTCCATGTTCTTGGGGATGCATTTGATATTGCCCTCAATGTGCGAGATGGCTTGCATGATGAAGTGAGCATCGTACCCTCTCAAAAACCACGGGGATGGGGAGGGTTTGGGTATCGATTCTAAGCTGGAGGTTGCACGCGTTATGGGCGGCACCTCGGTATCGACCGGTGATGTGGCAATGATCTCTCACGACAACCCCGTTCAGGGGTTGGTCACACACGTAGCAACGCTGAGACTTTTCTTGAGCGAATTTATCCTCTGGCGTCATATCCATGAGGGCAGGGTCCGACAAAGCTTCCCTGATGTTTCTCTCTTCGCGTTGTAAGAACGTGAGAAACGTTTCAGCCACGTCCGGACCTCGGTTGATCACGGAACGCTCGTCAGCTTCGTCACATCGAATCCACCACGCACCGAACCCACAGGTTTGATGTTCTTGTGTTTTGTAACGCGAAAACCGCGATTCATGTCGGGTGGCAATGTGTCGCGTCGACCCGTTTGATGAGCGCTTCGAAGTCGGCGTAAATGACGTAAGGCACGGGCATTTGATGTTACGATTTATGAACATTAAGATGTTTTGATGTTCTCGAGGCATGTCGATTCGGACAGCCGTCTCTCCAACACCTCAGCAATCCTCCCAGTGCGCTTCCAGCAGGTCTTCTCGACTGTACCCGTGCAGGCATCCTTCCTAAAAATGTTTCTTTTCCTTGTGGTTCGATTGATCGTACAACAGTCGCCTTTTTCGACGAGAAATAAATTGATTCTGCGCACATCATCGGGCCTGGAGCTGATTCGGTGCACGATCGTCGTATTTCCTTCGTGGCCAAAGACGTTGATGGCTAAATGGTTTTGTTTTTCGACCTTCGTCATTTGAGAGATGGGTGTGGGTGCGTCTATACCATCCAAGTTCAGCCCATCGTCTGCGGGATAGCTCAAAGGTCTGTTCACCACTTTAGAATCGGCGGGGAATAAGGCAGATCTCAGCGCCCATCTTAAGCAGGGATCGTCGCTGTTTTTAACGTTCGCGATGGCTTTTTCATTCTTGTAATGCGGAGGCAAGTCTAGGTACGATATGCCTCTGAACGGTAGGTAGTTCGCTATGTCCAAATAGATGGTGTTGATACTTCCCACCATCCACCCGGAGTCCCTGTGCATCCACCATTCCAACGATTTTGGAGGGTCGAAGGGATCGAGTCAGATTAAAGTACGACTCGATGGACTCGGTACTGACATCTGTCTGCTGTTTGTTGAGCGACATGTGGATGGTCAACTGGTATTTGATACTTTTTCAATCATCCAACTCTTCTTCGACTTCGTTGGCGATCAGAGGTTTGACGCTGTTGACGTCCATGTTAGACTGTACGGTCATTTTCCAGCTTC